GGGCGGAGCGGCCTCTCCTCGCCGCCGCTCTGTACGCGGGCGCAGCCCCGGCTCGCTGGTGTGGGCGGGAAGGTGCTGCCGCGGCATGGCGGGCGAGGGCGACTCTGAGCCGGGGAAGGTAATGGAGGACGAGGGGGGAGCGGTGAGGGGTGAGGAGGAGAATGAGGGTGATGATAAGAAGGAGGATGAGGAGGAGCTGCGCGGCACACGGCTGGCCGCGGCAGCCCCGCGCTGGGGACACGGGAGGTCATTGCAGTGACCGTCCCCCACACCGCTCCGCCTCGCTGTTTCACCGCCCGAGGAAATTATTAGGGAACAATACACGGAAACCCACGGCAGAGCTGAGGCTCTGCAGGGCCAGGTGGGTGGGGCGGGGGTTTGTGTCCCCCCGGGCCCCGCGGTGAGACTTTCTCTCGGTGGGCGAAACTCCGTGGTGAGACCGGAGGGTTCTTGAGGCCGGTGGTGGGACACAGAACAAATGATGCCCAGCCTGGCAACAGGTGAGACGCTATTTTAAAAGGATGCATCACGCTGCATGGATGTAGCAGGGGTACCTTCTTAGCCAACAACAGCAACATATCAGGTGACTTCTTCCACACGAGAGCACTTGGAATTACTCATTAGGAGATACGACCAACATAGACTGCATCCTTTCTGTCTCGCTTGTACACAGGGACAGCTGATGGCTGTCCCTAGGGAACATGGGGATGCTAAAACTGACCATGGGGATTTCCATGCTTGCCATCCCCATTACCACAGTGACACAATGACTGGTCTCACAGAGTTGCCAGCCCTCCACAAGCAGTTGTTCACTGTAGTACTCCATCTTCAAAATCTGCTTTGACCAAATGGAGCACCTTCACGACAAAATAAAACAATCACCTTTGATGAATTTTATAAAGTTGCACACATGGTTCTTCATGCTCTAAATGATTCAACACAATAGAATGAAACATGTTCTTACACTGTCCCTGACCAAAGGTTTGAAAGCAGAACAATGTGCAGGTGTTACTGAGGGGCAGCCACCTTGACCCAGGTGCCCAGCCCCTGCCTAGACGTAGGGTTAGGTCATAGATTAGTGGTTTGTAAATGTTTTTATTCAGTGTAAGGTTCTCTACTACATGCTCATTCTCTAGTAACTTCTTTCAAGCATATTTGCTGTTTCGGGCACTAAAATTACATGGTATGGCTAGCTGCATACTTGACTGTAACCTTCCTTGTTTGTTATGATGTAACAAAAATACCAGATTCTTAAGGGTCTTCTCCCTTCCTTTTTTGGGGAATGTAAAGATAAAAAGTGAAGTAGTTATTTTTTAATATTCAGTAGAAAGGATGGATCAACAGTTTTGTGCAAAACTATATTATGTAAATTAATAGTTAACTCTTCCAGAAACATCCCTGATATATCTGTATTTGTTCACTTTTGGTCAGCTATAACCCTGGAGGTGGTAAGTTCTCAACTGGTTATACTTGACTACTAAGATAAAAAGCCAGTTTTACAGTGGAGTTGGCATCGTAGACTTCTACAGAAGTGATTTTTTTAAATTAATGGTTGGTTTTGTTTTTTTATTTTGTCTTACAGTCCTTTAAACTCCTGGGATTTCTTGATGTTCAAAATGTCCCATGTGCACGAGAATCAGTGCTCTATGGTTCCCTGGGGTCTTTAGTTATGGGTCTTGGACATTTTTTAGCAACTAGTAAGTACTTCTTTTGGGTTTTATATATCTATTTGCAAGAAAAAAATAACTTCTATTTGCTGTTGGGTATTATTAATAATGAGAAGTCATACAAGTTGTTTTCTCTAACTTACAGAGAAACTATCTAACTTACTATCTCTAACATAAGATTTTTTGCTTTTTTTTTCAGGTAGAGTTAGAAGATCTTGTGATGTTGCAGTTGGTGGCTTTATTTGCACAATGTTAGGATACTGGTATGTAAAATGCTCCTTCAATTTTGACAGGCCTGTGTTGGCTGAATTGTACAACATGATCCCTGTGTTTCAGTTTTCTGAAACAGTGTTTCATGTTGTCTTTGAAGCCACCTTAAAAAGCCTGCCTAGCAAAGTGTCTTCTTCCTTCTCCCCAGAATACTTACTGTCTTTAAAGGAAAACATTTCAATGTGTTTGAATGTTTATATTTATATTTTAAATACTTTGTATTGTTTCTTGAATCCTAAACAATCAACCCCCCCCCACACACACTTGTTTCCATTTTTCTTAATTCTTTTTTTCCTTTGCATATCCCATTCTCGTGTCTTAGTTCCAAAACCAGCATGCTGAATTTTACTAGCATTATCACATGTGGTTGTAACTTGTCAGCTGCCTGAATGACTCTGTTTTGATACTGCCACTCATATAAAACAGGGAATTGTGCTTTCTTTTTATCCCCTCCTCTAGGTTTTACTGCAGGTACAACCTGGCCAAGCAAAGGATCCGGCAAAGAATGCTTAAAGAAGGAATGAGAAACAGAGTTTTATTTGAAGGCAGTTATCTTGATCCAGAAAAGGAAAAAACGGGCGGTGAAAGAAGCGATTCATAGGTTGCTCTGGAGGAGTTGTGGTTTAATACATCTTTGGGAAAAGGCAGTCCATAAACAAGTCAATCTACACTGCAAGCCTGTGAGGTGTCTAAAGCTGGTAAACAGTGGTTATCCTAGCAAATCTGAGCAGGAAATTCATAGTGAATCTGTTAAATCTGCACAAGCCTTGCTTTGTTTCATGTATGTATGTATGTGACTGCACACATTTAGAATGATGTTAAACATCTGGGAGCTCATGTGTTCTCTTGCAGGTCTCAGAGGATTAGTGAGACAGTGATTTGGGAGTGCTTTAACTTCCATTATAAACAGAGTGTGGTTTGCTTTAGCAAAGTTGTAATTACATCTCATTTAAATACAGGAAAATATTTCTATCACCTGTTGATGTGTATCAACAAATGTATCCTTCAGGGCTATTATTAACAGTGCTGTTTGTAAAACAGGAATATTTAAACAATAGAAGAAGGCTTTGCTTGTGCAAGATGGGTTATATCAGCAGCCTTTGTAAGATTTCAGCTGCAGGATAACCAGATAATTTACACACACTGTGAAGCTGAAGGATTTCCATCTTTGTTCTGTCTGTTTGAAACTATGAATAAAATCACACTTCAGAGCAGTCTAAACTATGTAAGTAAATAATTTTTTACTTCATTAAAAATCTTGCTACTTAAGACAGTCCCCTACTATATGTGGAATAATTTACATTATTTGTAAGTAGCAATGTTTGTTTTTTATTTTTTTTTCTTTATTCTACTTAACTATTTCACTGTACATTTTTCAGTTAAAAGCAATATCACTGCATAATTTCAAGGAAACCATCTTATTTGGAAATACAGTGTTAGGTCTAATAGCATATTGGTAAAAAGATGAGTGATGACATCACTCACTTGCTTCTGCCTGCATGAGTGACACAATGTTTTCATTTTTTCATATCATGATTTATGGTCTATTATGCTGTAAGCACTTTCTGATCTAAAGGCATTTCACCAAGCAAAAACAGTCCTTTTCCCCCACCCTGTACTTTGTCTGAGAGAGTTGTTGATCTGTTATTAACTCACATTGGTGCAGGGAGGTTTGGGAATCCATATGTAAACAGCAGCATTGCTCCACTTACTTATTTGGAAATATACTTGAGAGCACTAAATAAACGTGCTATTTACACTGAGAAAATGAAACTTTTACCCTCTGTGGATTAGCCTTTTATAAGAAGAAAACAAACCTATATACTCTAATTCCTTTTTGCCCCTCTTTTCCTCATGTTTCTTCTGGAGGAAACAAAGATAAATTTTACTGGGGACATTGACTTCAATATTTTTATAAAAAGTCTTCAGAAGAATTAATGCAATGAAATGCTTCAAGTCTTCACCACTAAGTCCAAAGTGAGAAGTTAATTGGTAGCTAATTCAGAAGGGAAAAATGTTTCCCCTGGTTCTGTGTTGGGTTGGGGGGGCCAAGGGAATGGGAGGCTCCTTCTCCTTGGGGTGGGAGCTGTTGCTTCATAAAGCCCTTGGAGTGGCAGTGGGAAACCGAGCGAGCCATGAGGCTGGTCTGTAACAAGCTCCTGTTTTAATACATGGTTGAGTTCTTTCCTATCTGACCTAAGAAAAGAAAGTGCAACCTAAGCAGGGGGTCTTTTGGCTGAAGGGTCATAGGTCAGATGGGGGTATTTAGGCAACAAAAGCACAGGGATGAAAATTTACTCTTTGGCAAAGAGCAGTTGTAGAGAAAGAGAGAAGGGTGTTTTGTGCTGATGGGAAAGAAGTTAGCATGTGCATAATGGCATCCTTCAAAACACACAAACACTGTGACTGCTGAGAAAGTAGCAGCAGCCTTATGATGCTGTGTAAGTCAAAAAAGTCTGGGCAAAATTTCAGCGTTAAATCCTCTCTGGTGTTAATTGGTGGTGGTACAAGTTACTGCATTGAAGGATATTAGCCAAATAGCAGCTTAACTACAGTTTTAGCAATAACTGTGAAATGCTAGATGTATCTGCATTGCGTAGATAAGCCATCTAATACTTCTGCTTCACTGTGCAGAGTGTGAAATGAGCATGCCAGATGTTCACAGAAAAACTGGGGAAGAGGCAATGTGCAGGCAGCCTGGCCAGCACATTGGAGCTTCAGTGTTTACTAAAACTTGAGGTGGAATTAACTACAAGTCAAGGCCTTTGTGGAATAGGGCAGGACAGGGATATAAGATAAGGAAGCAGTGAGCAGGACTCAGTTGTTGTGAAAGGGGGGGTCTGCAACAGCAGATGGAAGAATGCTCTCGGTCAAACAGGCAGGGGGAAAGGTCTGGCATAATTCCTTAAGTGTTGGCTCCAGCTGCTTCTGTGCCAGATATGGAGAGCAAATTGAAAGTGACTGATGGGTTACCCCAGTTAAAGAGTGAGAGACAGGATAAAACAAAAAAAAATATCAAAGCTACTAGTTGTCATAAATTAGGATACATTGACAAGAAAACAAAAATTTCTGTTACTTAAGTAATTGTAACATTTGAAAACAATGACATAATTATTTTTTTAAAATTAGTGAGTTGTATCCCTATTTATCTGTTACTGCTAATTTCCTAAGTTTCAACTCATGGGTGGAAATATGGAGCACACCTCTGTGTTTTATTACCAGACTTGAAATGTAAAAAGTATTGCAGCTAATGACAGATAGGATAGTGTTTGCTTTGCTTTGCCTAAATTAAAACTTACCAGAGAGTTACTAGGAAGGAAAAGAAATAGTAATTTTGAAGATGTTTGGTTTTCTGCCCCCTCAGAATAAACCATAAAAAGGGAGAGAATAAAGTATAGCAGCTTTGAAACCGTAAGGTGTTAAAACCCCGTTTATTTTACCGACAATAATGTTACTTGGTCACTGAACAGTGACAGACAAGCAGTTGAGTTTTTATCCCTGAAGTTAGTGAAATCCTTCCTTTAAGCAACCTAAACCACCGGCAAAATCAAGAGATGGGTTTATGGCCCCATTGCTCCTCCACTCCTTTCTCTTCCTGTTCCCCACCGTAGCGATACTCTGGGAAAAGGTGTTTGCAGCCTCCTCCAGCAGGAACCCACATTTGGGACCCCAGCAGTGGCCAGAGGCCACCTGTGCAAGGTGCATCCTGCAGGTCCTTCGAGAAGGGAAGTTGCTGTGGAGACTGTGAAACATTGAGATCTAAGGTTAATTGTCAGCCCCATTCCCAGGGCTGTGTGTGATCAGGTGGCCTCTGCTCTTCGGTGCCTCTCACAGAAGCAAATATCCTTCTTCAGCCATTGACAGATGCAATATGCTCAAAACTCAGAAAACTTTCTGGAGGTGACAGCAGAGGCAATTATAGTTGCTCTCCCAAATTTGTCATTTATCTCTTTACCCAAGCAGAGGTTTTTGGGGAGGTAGGGGGAGATATCACTGCATTTTGCAGGCTTCCAGACTCTCTGTGTGTCACCACCCACCCAAGTCCTCAAGTGCTGCAAAGGAAAGGTCATCTCCTGTCACTGAGCCTGGCTTTTTATTTGGGTCTGGAGGAAGTGTGTTTGTTATTTTTGGTATAAGCAATCCAGGTAACAATGAAGCACTGTGTGAATTGAGCTGCAATGAGCTCCCAAGCAAAAGATTTTCTTCAGCTTAGTAGGCTAATTCCCGTACTTCTCTTGTTCCTATCCAGACATTCATCTCAAGAGCTCAGTACCCATGAAAGTTGTTTGCTTGCTCCATATAACTCTTGAAACAAATATGTTGTTCTTGCCTTGGAAAACTGATCAAAACAAAGTTTTACAGTATATTCAGATGCTCAAGAAGGTGATCCCTTGATTTTGTTTTTTTTTCCTTGAGTGAAAAACCAAGAACTGATTCCCTATCAGAAGTGGAACTGAGGTTTAGTTAATATGACTCAAGGCCTTAGAGCAGGTAACTTTCTTACGCTTAAAATTAAAATGTTACATGAAGAACATGCAGCTCCTAAACCTTCAAATGGTGGTGGAGGAGGAGGCTAATGAGAGGTAGAACCTGGGATGACACAGTTTGAGCAAAACACAGACTTTTGTTCATGGCTAACAGCACCCTGACTAAGGGTAGCTCCCCTCTTTTTCACACAGTCCTTTGTTTTTTTTCTGCTTGAGTTCATAGTTTGCCTGAGAGCCGTCCAGCAGGGGGTCTGCCTGTTCCTGTGAGAATAGGTCACAGCATCCTTATGTCTGCTTGTTTTCAAGATTAAGAGCAGTTTGTTCTGAGGCTATTTTAATCCTGCCAGCTTCTGTCATCTATCATGAGCAAGAGTGCGTCAAAACCCTCAGCTCTCCTGAACATGCCAGGAGCCCTCTGGCAGTACCTAAAATGTACCATGGGAGTGGATGATTACCACTGCAGGGATCTTTCTCTTTTAACTGGCCACAGCTCAAAAAATACCCAGATTGTGGTGATCTATTTAACAGAAATAAAGATTCCTCTTTTTCCTGCTCTGGAGAGAAGGAAGCACATGCTTTGCATATTTTTGAAACTCCTTGTTTATTTTGTCAAATGCAGTAACAAATAGCAGCAGGTGTGCTCTCAGCCAATGTGAGCTTTCCCCCTAGACAACAGATCCTCATCTCTGCTCTTGGTGGCAAATGGCTTGTGCTAACTCTGGTGCTCCCGTGTGCTTTCATCCATGACACATCTTGGCCTTCAATCCTGCATATACATGCATGGCAGGTCTTTGGGGTTTATTTACAAGCTTTACAACTCTGGCTGATATTCATGCTTTCTGTCATCCAGGTCAAGAGTTCCTACCACCTTTACCTTTGCCAGGTGGCCACAAGGAGAGATCTTTCTCCACCATGTCATCACTGTGACACTGCATAGATTCTGTGGAAACAGGATGAGTTGCATGAAGCCCGCTTTCCCATTGCTCTTTGTTATATTACTTAAGCAATTAAAGGGAAACTAATACCCCTCCTTTTGTTCAGGCTCTGGCTGAGATAGTGGCAATATCTCTGAAGATGAAAAGCCAATAACAGGTTTGTTATTGGGCTGATACATTACCACAAATGGCTGTTGCAGGAGTCCTTCACAGAGCAAGTACAAAGCAAAAAAAAAAAAATTCTAACAGCCTGTTCCTCAAAATAAAGGGGAAAATACCCTATTCAGACCCCCAGAAGAAATCTGGAGCTACCAGTGATTGTTACAGGCTGTGCATATAATGCTTTCATCCAATATTTAAAGCCCTTGAGGGCCGTCCTGAGGCAGCACGGGGAGGCCGTGACGGAACTTGCTTGACTTGGTTTCTTAGCTCTGATAGTATCCCAGTGTCGTATTCTTCCCTTACTGCCTACTGAGACTCCCAGATGGATAAAAAGAGCTCAGCCTTTTCTTCCTAAACCTCACAAGGTCCCGCTGAACCAGTACTGTAGAGGGCTTCTTGCCCCCACGAACAAGCACAACGGCCCCTCTCCTTCCCAAAAGCCAGTCAGCATTAATTTCTACTCCAAAATGTTTCTAGCACCATTCATCCTTCTGCTGGGAACAATGTACCTCAGTCTGTACATCTCTGTCACCCACACCTGTGCTCTCAAAGAAACTTATCTCGAGAGCACCTAAGTGGTCACAGAGTGGTCACCTAGCAGATGGCCAGGAAGCCGCTCCCTCGGAGCGCTGCTGGCTTCCAGCAGAGCCAGGGATCCCCCGGCACACAAGCGGCACACAGCTCCCCGCGCTTCAGGAATGCTGGGAATGCCACAAACCACAGCTCTGTGCGAAGTCACACACTCCTGGTATGGCACCAAAACGGACAAAATTCGGAGGGGTTCGGATACTGATATAGCAGTAGCACTGTCCGTCTGCTGACGGCCTCCTGTGGGATCCGTGCTAATTGGAATACAGCCACCATTTAAGGAGGAGCCCATGCACTCCCTTCCCCCACCAGCCCTTCAGTTGCTTTCAGCACTGTAATCTTCCCTGGTTTGTTCTGGAACTAGAGAAGGATGCTTGTACTTGGTAAATCATGGACCTTTCAAGGCAGTAAGTACCTATAAAACCAAGATCATTCCTGAAAACTTTTCTTCATTGTCTGCATGAGGATCTGCTGAAAGAAACGGTTGGAGTCTCTCGTTTCCCTTATGCGGGTGTTTCCTTAAAGGAAAAAAATAAAAAGGGACTGGCCGGCTGCCAGGCGGTGGAGGCACATAAATATCCCGGGGCTGTGCCAACGCAGGCGCTGAAGCAGCAGCAGCAGCAGCAGCAGCAGCAGCAGCCCCCTCCCAGGAATGTCCGGGAGCTGCTGGGGGGATGCTGATTTTCAGGAAGTGTCTCCCTGTCTCCACCACCTTCTCCACCGCCAAGCAGACTGTGGAGATTTCTCAGGGCTGGGCTCAGCGTGCAGCCCTGCGGACCGGAGCACTGGATCACAGTGATTGCTCTCACCTCCTTTTCTTTGGAGGAAGCAGCTCCTATCGCAGCCACATATGGGAACCAGCCAGTCATCTCGAGCTTTGGCAGCTGGTGCCATGCTTGGGGGGCACTGCTCCACACAGGAGATACTTCTCCTTGTAACAAAGGAGCAGGCAAGTTCATGCAAAACGTGTGATTGATGGAATATCCTGTATCTGGAATCCAAATACCCAGATTGTTACATTTAAATGTTGTGTTTAATGGAGTTTTTTATTGTGTTTCAATACTGAAATATTGGAATAGTTCTTATTGAACTGTCACAGCTGCTTTCTCCAAGGTCTCTCAGACTAAATAGGGCTAACACACAAGATATTTAATTTGCACAAGTAACTTACAATTAATGTTTCTTTTTGAGGTGCTTGTCTCACTATTCAACAATAGATGTTTCTATGATTCTATAATTATTCTATTCTAATTATTATTGTTGTTGTTGTTGTTTTATAGGGCAGCTGCTTGCCTAATGGAGTGTCCACTAGAGGCTGGGAAGCAGCTAGCTGACTAGCAGCCCAGCTGAAGAGGATGGGACTTAGAGTGGCTGCCAAGTTGAATGTGGGCCAGGAGAGTGTTCTCTCTGTAAATAAGTCAAACTACAGTCTGGGCTCCATCAGGAAATATGTGGCCAGCGAATGAAGGGATGCACTTATTCACCAGTACTGACACTGCTGAGCAGTGCATCTAATATTGCTGTTCAGCTTTGGGTTTCTTGCCCAACAAGGATGTCAAAAAAATGTAGAGGCTCCAGTGATGGGCTCCCAAGGTGTCCACAGAGCTCAAGGCCTGCCCTCTGGAGAGACAGTGGAAGGAGTTGGATTTAGTCTGTGGGGTGAGCTAATAAGAGCCTAGTTATCTTATTATCTGCAGGACAGTTACAAAGGTGGAGCCAAACATCTGATAGCTGCAGGAGATGTGGCAGGGGCAATGGCCATGAACTCCAGCTTGGGAGCTCCAGGCCAGACAGAAGGACAGGCCTGGTTTATTCTGATGGCAGTGCACTGGGCAGCCCAGAAAGGCCATATAATTTTCACCCTTTGCAGGTTTTCAAGCGTCATTTAGACAAAGCCCCAGCTGACCTGAGCATAGTTGCCAGTCCTGCCACAAGTGGGAGGATGGACTCCATGTCCAGAAGCAAATCCCTGTGATTCTGCAGCCTACAGAGAGACAGAGAATCTTCAAAACCCAAGGCAGAAAAAGCCCAGTGCCATGCAGAGGACAATCTGACTCATTCAAGAGCATCCCTTTTTGCCTTCAGGAATTGTTCTCTCCAATGCAGTGCTCCCAGGCTGTGTGGGAGGCCCCACAGCATCGCAGGTGCTCTGGCAGCAGCAGGGAGCACACAGCAGACAAGACAAGGTGTGCAGCATGTGGAGCTGCCAGGCTTTGGGTACACAGCTCTGCTGCTCACAACCTGCATGTGATGCTGCTTGTGGACTCACCTCGGGTAGCTCAACTTTTCTGAGTCTTGTCTCTCAGCATGATGTGTGCAAACCCCAAGTGTCACTTCTTTCAGAAAAAGATATTACAAGTAAATACCTCCTTTGAAACTTACTAATTTCTTTCCTCCATCTCTCACTACTTTCTTACTGCAAATACAGAAGTCCTTTTATAATATTTATATATATATATAATATTATATAATTATATACTATTATAATATTATAATTTTATAATATAAAGCTTATCTCACCTGCTTGTTCGACAGCTCCCCAAAGCCGCAAGTTCAGCGGAGCCCAAATATAACTCTAACTTACACATGAGTAGGTTACATGGAAACTGAAAAGAGAGAATCAGACCTTTCCTGCATCTCCCACCTTGTAAACAATCACTGGTATTTTAAGTGCATATTTATGTCCAGGGAGATACTCAGTACCATTCTGGGCCTTTTAATTTTGTAACTGTCCTGGGCATCAGCACCATTTCAGAACTCCCCATGTCTAAGGCAAATAAATCTTTGTTAATACCTGGAGGAAAACCTCCAGAGCACAGTGTATCAGAAAAGCTATTGCAGGCTAATGTGACATAAATGAAGGCCACACTCAGACTAGAGGACACATACTTGCATTTATATGCCATAGGAGTTATCAGAGGTGTCCTAGTAAGCAGCCATCTGATCCTAGCTAAGAGAGAGTTAGCACTGGGACAACGAGTACCCTTTCAATCCTTTTGTGCTAACCAGACAGCAGATCCCCCTCCATCATTACTGGAAATTGAATGTGCCCTGGGCTACCAAGTTGTAAAAAATTTTTGAGCATGAAAAAGTTTGAGGGAAAAACTGATTTGTCTTACCCATAGCTTTGATTTTAGTAACTTCTAGGACCAAAAGTATTCTGCAGATCAAAGATTGTCTCCTAAACCAGAAGAAGTAACAAAAACTTGCTCTAAAGTAACACTTGCATATCAAGTCACCCACAAGTAATTGTAGTTCTAGATTTTTTACACTTGCCTTTGTTTTTTTGCTATTGATGCTGACAACATGTTAAGCATCGAGCATCTTTTTCAAGCTACAGTTAAGTTTTCATAGCAACCAATTAATTGCTGAATCCTCCTGCCACTCCCAGTACTGGCAGAAAGACAAACTAAGGCAAGAGTCACATCCAGAGTAAATGCTGGCCAAGTCCTGATTTCAGCCAGTTCCCAGGGCTGGCTCTGGAGAGGCCTTCTGTGCTGGAGGAGATGGCTGGTGCCTAGCAAAGCAGAAAAGCTACACAAAACTAACCACTACTCTGACACTGTTTAAAGATAAGGCCTCCTTCCCCTCTCTACCTGCATGGGGGCTTTGCCTGGGATGAGGATGTGCATCAGAGAGGCGCTGCTCTAACTTTACCACAGCCAATCTGCCACCTGCATTACAAAGATGCCCTTCCGAGTTTCCGCCTTCTCCTCAGCAGCTTTTTCTGACACCCTGGAGTTTTCCCCATCTTCCACAGTGCTTTGGACCAAGCTGTCTCCAGCAGTACTTACTCTTTGTAAGTAACTCTAGTTCACAAAGCGTGTGCATGCTTCTTTGCTTGGGAGAGCCCAGCCCCTGGCAGTTAACATCTGCAGAAGTGTCAAAATATTTCACGTCTCTGCAACTCAGCTTGATTTCTTGTGGCTTAGTCTGAGGTTGCCCTGTCAGTAAGCACTGGTCTAGTTTTTCAAAAGGTCATGGACAAGGAAACTTCCTAATCTTAAAAGATGACTTCATCACCTATTTCTATTAAAAGCATTGCTTGGAGTGTTGCAAGAAGAAAAAAATTAGTGGCTTACACCATGGGTAAGAATTTTTCTTTTAATTCAAGTGGCTTGGATTGCAGAGCGTGTTGCCAGAAGACTGATTTAATTCATTTCACTATCAGAAAAAGTGGGGACAAGGTCTAAAAACGTCCTCACTGATGAGCTGTCCTGCAGTAGGCACTGAAAGGAGCTCGTGTACAGGTGCCACTTACACCGTGCTCCTACACACAGATGGCAGCACTGCTGAGTACTCCCAGTGCAGCGGAGGAATCAGCCCAGCACACTGGTAAGGCAGCTCCTGACAGCAGAGCTGGGTTTGGGGACAGGGATCTCATAAGCCACCCCAGAACCAAAGCCTGCCCTTGATGTCCCACAGCTGAGTCTGTTCACAAAGTCCTTTCATGAAGGACACCACCCCTCGCCAAGACCCGGGAGCGCCAGGGAAGCATCTCCATGTACACAGTGTGTATCCTAGCGACTGTTACTAGCAAAGGCAGAAATACAACTGGAGTTTGTTTGGTTGTTATCCGGATGCTTCCTCCCGGGACATGCAACACAGTCCTGCCTTGGGCCTGCAGCTAAGCGTGCACAGCCCCCTCAAGCAAGGCAGGGTGGCCACTGCCTGCTGCAGGATGAGATGGCAGCAGCTTCATCAGACAGGGCTGCAAGTAGAGCACCAGCAGCTGCACAAGGCACCATGTGCTGTGGCCCTGTTGTCACAGAGCCAAACCCGAGGTTACCCACGTTTGTACTGTTAGAAAAAAGCCCCATCTCAGTTAGAAAAAGCCAAACCCAGTTTGCACTCCAAAAGGAAAACCACCTCAAAACATAGACCCAAACCCCAGTGTTGTATGCCACTATCTGTGCCACTGCCACCAGCAGCACGGCTGCTCTAATCCAGGTACTTTTCTGCATGTAAACAAGCCCTTGTAAGCTGCAAGAAATCACTCCATGTGACAAGATGGCTCAGCCCTCTTGTTTTGGCAATGTACAGCTGTGCCCTCCTCACCTTTCTGTAGCCACCAGCTAAGTTTCATATTGTCCTTTTTAAATGCAAACTGTGGGGTTTTTTTAGTATTGATGACTCCTTAGGTATCTGCTTCTCTATAAACGCCATTTTCACATGGCAAAATAAATCCCTTCTCTAGGAATATTCAGAACTACGTTGAGAGTGATTCTGTGTGGGCAGACCCAGGCTGAACACACATGCAAGCTGCTCTCCACTCAGCTGTGACAATGAGGAGTGGGATGTACCTGGACTTTTCCACCCCCTCTCTGAGCTACATGTATCCCAGTAGAGCACGTGCTGAAGCTTTTTTGAATTCTGTTCCTCAGATAGTGCTGAACTTACCAAAATGGTTTTTGTTGGAGAGGAGTATTTTTTAATAGAAGGCGGATACTCCTTCTGAGTGTGAGAGTTGAAGCACTTCACGTATGGCTGTTGCGTTGGGGCTTTTTTTAAATATCATACAGCAAAGAAACTGAAAACAAAACATCCCAGACTTTTGAATTGAAATACAGGCTTTACAACCACATTGTAAGTGTAGGCTGTTATATTTTCGTTTAAGACTATATCATTTTATAGAGTACCAAAATAAGCAAAGGATCAGCACTCCATACAAAGTGTTAGTTCCTGTGAGGAGGGTAGAAGGGAAATGGATTTTAATTACACTAAACTTTTTTGCAAGTCTAAAGAAAACTCCATTTCAACAAAACATATTTGGGTTTCAATTTCCCAAATTTCATTAAGTAGTGTTTCTTTTAAGACGATTTACATTTTTCTCATTCAAAGTAAAGGGATGATTTAAAGCACTATTAACAAGGAGGTGGTGCTGTTAATGTTTAATGTCAATATGCAATGGCATCTGCTATAAAGGCTAGAAGAGCAACACAAGTTTATCTTTACTTCTGAAGACTACTAGAAATTGACTAACACTGGAGAAAAGTTGCAAGCACAGCACACGACTCTAGCTCTAGGCTGCTGCCAGGGAGCCTCTGCTAGTCCATACACTGCCACGGGGACTGCCAGCACACCCCAGGGCCCCGATGGCAGCAGTGCCATGTGTCCTCACGCGTAGACCCCGTGTCCCTCTTGCAATGGGTACATCTTTTCCCTGTCTTACGGCATTGAAACGCAAGTTAGCAGCTAACATTGCCACTACAATTTTACAGAAGCATAAAGCTGAACAAAATAGCAGTTAAAACAAATTTGATTTTTTTTAACAGAGCTCTCTGTTAAACTCCATGACAATCCTTCCTCCTGTCCTACTCCCTGTCCTTCTCCTACTCCCTCCCTAATGTCTATTTTACAATAAAGAGGTTAAGTGGATTTACATGATGCAAGCGCAACTCAAAGACTTTTCCCCTATACATATAACCATGTTAAACTGTGAATTATACATGTGATAGATCTCTAACAGCGCAACCACCAGTTTTTTTTTTAAAGAAACACAAGTATTTCAGCATGTACAGTAATGAGTTTAAAACTGTCCAACATCGTCGCTTTCATACATTCTCTTCCTCTTTATAGCATTAACGGGATTTTAGACCTTGATGGTGACAATCCCAAACAAGAGTAAAATGAATTTATTTTATTGCAAACAAACGTCTAAAGAGTTAAACTTCTCCACCCACTTTCTTTTAAAGAGAAAAGGAATCAGCAGGCTAAGGGAGATACACCCATTTGAGAATTGACATGATTAAAAATTAAGATATAAAATGGGTGACTCACAGTTTCATTAGCTTACAAAATGGTGGAGTAACTACTACAAGCACACTAGGTATACAGTATTTTGTGGGGAAAGAGTTATACAGACACACAGCTAACTTCATATAGATCCCATTAGACAACTGGATTTACAACAAGTTTTGTTTAATAAGAAATGGGCAAAGCCAGCTTCTTTTCAGAATCAAAATGCAGAACAAATGGAAAAAAAAATTATGGTGTTGTACCTTCACAAGTTTGAGCCTCCACAAATAAAGCAACCGAGTTTTACAACTTTAAGAGCTTCTACATACACTCCACCATCACTACTTAGCCCCAGGTTCCTCTTTGCCCCCAACATCTTACTGAGTTCCAAATGTTACAAAAAAGTCCTAGTTATTGCCAGAAACTTTTGCCTCCCCTTCCTCCCCTCCCCACCCAAGAGCTTCATAGAGAGGATGGAGTGTAATAGGGAGCTTTACATAATCTCATGGTATTTGAGGGCCACTAAAGATGCCTCCATACGAATCTGGTTGCTAACATTTCTATTGTATTGTGACATGACTCACGACTGTTTCTTAGAAATTGGGGGATGGGGAAAAAGGAGAAAATTCTTTAATAAAAAGACACCAGGTACAAAGCAACGTTTTACTTTTGTTGTGGTAAAAAAAAAGTCACATTTTACAGATAAAATGTAGAACCCTGAAATACTGACACATTCTCTTTTCGTGCACAATGCTGAGGTTCTCTTACGAATCACTTTAAAACTGCAATTAAAAATGTACAAAAAAAGAAAAGAAAAAATCAACCCACAAAGCTTCTAAAAAAGGAACCCGCAGGCACTTCCTCTTGTGGAATGTTTAAAAAGTTAGCCTACTAAAGAAAACAGTCGACTTCTTGTGAAGGTTTTGGAGAAATATGTATCAGTTCATTTATTTGGGTATTCAATAATATCCTTGGTGATAATGCTGACTCCATGGCTTCTGACCCCAGAATTGCTGCAACAGATTAATAAATAGTTAGTTTTAACCTGCAATCACATAATGGTTAAGTTTCTTACTTGGGAGAAAAAAGAAAGCATTTAACAAACATCTAGTTCCCCTGGAACTCGAGAGGATTAAAGTCCTCTCCAATAGCAGCAAGTTCCTGAACAACTGAAGGCAGTTAAAAGTTCACTTCACAGCAGTAATGTGAAGCCAAGTACTACATACCATGAAGATCGTTATGCCACAGCTGGTATTTGACATATCAAGACCATCAAGGCAGATTAAGTTTTGCACAGGAAGCTATTTATAGTGATATCACCTAGCATTAGAAGATTTTGCTATCCACTTTTGATTATGCATCTACTTATTTTAGTCAGCACTTTGCAACATTCAAGTTAACCATCAGTAAAAAGATAAAGTTGGGACTACTTACACCCTGCTGCCACTGGTTGTAGCCCTGAGATTGGTTTTTGTAGCCACGATTATTTCCCCTTCCTCTGAAGTTCTGCAAGAGGACAACAGTTTTTAACTACTTTGTCTATATGTATTTTTCAGCAGTGTCCTAATACTTTGGACATGACACACCATATAGAAGTATCAGCCCCAGGTTAATAGAAAAACACACCACCAAAAAATCCCTCCCTGATAAACACTAGAATATCAAGTCTCCTCCCTCCCTCCTCCTGAAGCAACTGCTTTTTAAGCATGGGGCAAGTACCTCAGAATCAATAAACCAGTTCAAACTGCTGCTGCCTGCTCTGGAAAGCTGGCTAATCCAGTTTTGACTCACCCTATTTCCAGCTGCTAAATGCACCAGGACAACTAAAAATACAAAAGCTTGTCTATTTTTAGTTAGGAAAGGCTGTAGTTGCTACAAGGGTATGTTATCTGATCAGACAAAAGGATATGGGTCACACAACTGAAAATAGAAGAGCTAGCCCACAAAACTTCAAAGAGAAGTTAAGGTACAACAAAGGGACATTGATTTCCTCCTGTTTGTCAGTATTAGGCAAACCTGAGCCATGTTTACTGGCTTGGGCTCCATCTGCTGGCTCTTCAGTAATCCAAATTTTGTTTTCCAATACTTCCACCAATATTCCAACAGGTAAGATCTAGGCTAGTGTGTCTTTACTAGCTGTGCTCATTACCAGACACCAAAACAAAGACTCTGTGCACAGCTATTTCCAGAAAGTTCCCTACACGTTTGATAAAGATACACTTTGACCCCCGGGCCAAACAGCAGTTACTATTATTTGGGATGGAGAAGAAACACAAAAAACCAAAGACAACCCTTCACATACTTGCGCTAAAAAGTCTTCGTTTTTAACAGGACAGAGGTACAGCCCTAACATGAACCCCCCCAAATCAGCAGTTGCTACACAGCTTTAAGAGCCCTGGGCACATGCACTAAACCAGAAAGGGGTTGCAGCATGGCATCAGTGTAGCACCACAATCAAGTTTGTGACTCCTCACAGGCACCAGAGCTGTCAAACAACATCATCCAAAGTACTGTAGTTCAACTTGTCAGTGCCCCCTCAAAAGCATCACCTGGTTGTAGTTTCCCCTGTTGGGCATTCCACCTCTGTTATAGTTTCCTCTGTTTGAGTAGCCACCTCTGCTTGGAAAGACAGGGCCGCGAGGATACGGGTAGCCAATTGCTCCGCTGCTGCCACCGCCACCACCGCCACCTCCACCACCTCGCTGAGGCATGTTGCCTCCCCTCCTGTTGTATCCACCACGATTGCCAGGGACTGCAGGGAGAGAGTTACTTTAATTGTTAGGTCTTACATATTTCCTACATGAAGATGAACAGTGCAATCCAAGCTCTGACAAGCCTCTCACTCAAGCTGGATAATTAGCTATGCACTAAAACATTAAATTTACTGAAATTGAGATCAAGGTTCCCACTATGTAGTAATTGCAATCCAAGTACTACAACCTTTTTCCCCAGCAGCAGCAACCTCCAGAAGTCTCAGATTTATTTCTAGGCTCACCTCCTCCTCTGAAGTTGCCCCGCATGTTGAATCCTCCACGTCCTCTCTGACCCCTATTAAACTGATTTTTATTGCTCTTCTTGTTCTTCTTTGAGCCAGTGTTCTGTTTCTTTTCTGGTGGAAGAGCTTTCTTACTTTCTTCTTTGTACTGTTCCAAAAGCTTCTGAGCTTCTTCTTTTTGCAACTCTACATAGATTATTTCATCAAAACATTCTGCTACCTCTGGCAGTGTGAAGTTCCCTATAATTGCAAAAACACTGAGTATTCAGCATCTACATTCAGCTACAATCAAAGCCGCAATTTAACCACCTTTCCCCCATTCTTCCTCCCACCCTCTCCATCTCCTCAGCATAGGGACAAAATTACATAATCTGAGCATTTAGGAAATGTAACAGTGACAAAGGTAATAAACAGGTCTTCATGGAGTTGCCAGTACTGTTCCAAACCTCGAAAACATTCTGCCTATCTTTTTTTTTTTCTTTTATAAGCCTCTACTCAGAACACCAGTTTCTGCCAAATATGTCACGTATATAGGGCACTTTTATGCCAAGACAGCTTTGTGCATCTGCATGAAGCGTATCACCATAACTGAGTAGTGTTAAGGACTGCAGCAGAGGGAACACAATATAGTGTTATCCTACCAAGTTACAATAGTCTTCCAGTTTTTTGTAAGTACAACTGTTTAAGATAAAGTGATTTTTTAGACTTCACGTTTACTTAATCCTTTAAACAGATACTCAGCATCCTAAAACACAGTATAGGATTATGTTCCATGCCTTTCATTTTGAGAACTGCATGCTCTGGAAGATCTTTTCCCTCCACCTCTGCCTTCTTTTGTGTTCTTTGCTTGTAGTCTTCATCTTTTGGGCAAACAACAACTGCTTTGCGCTGGAAGCCTGCAAACAGGCACATTTTTCTCCTCTGCGCAGCTGCAGACACATTTGTCTGAAAAAAATGCAGTAACTTACTACACGTAGCTGTCATTGTAAGAGTTAAGGAAGTCAACTTATGGTGTATAGACTTCACCTCTACAAGAGCTTGCAATGAAGTTTACAAATAACTGGACATAAAGATGCTGCATAATGCAAAGTTACGAGCTTGTATCAACGTGTTAAAACACTACTCCTCCCACATCCCATAAATCTAGAGTTCAGACAAGCATTTGTAATAATATCTCAACTTTGTGTCCCCTGAATGAGTAGTAAGTCAGTAACTGAAATAACCGCTATTATAATGTAACTTTAATCCCAATTAATTACTACAACACAGCCTATAACAAATTTCCTTAAACGTTTTTCACTGAAGCTTCTACCTGATCCAAAATGAAATTCCGCTTCTTACGAGCTGCAATCTCAATGAACTTTCCAAGACACTGTGGAGCTCTCTGCAACAGTGTGTTAAGTTTTCCAGTGTCTGCCATCTGACGCTTAAAACCTGCAACCTATGGAGAGATTTCCCAGTTAGTCAGTGTAGTCCTGATACATGTGTGGCATTTTTCTTTGCTAAATGCTTTCCACCACACTTCAAGGGCCATTCAATTCAAGGCCACAGTTGCTGCAAACTCTTAATTGAAATTCTCAACCCTCTATAGAACCTAAGAGATTCATAAACAAAGGCTCCACAAGAATTGGTACCATTCAGTTCAAGGTATACTCATCGCAATACCAATTCCAGCTAAATGTTGTATTCTGAGAACAGTGATGTACAGAGAAGTAGAAATACATTCCAGTAGTCAACAACAGCTGACTATTTCTTACATATTACCACGAAAAGCTTCAGAATCCTGCCATATGTGAATAAGCAGCTCAGCAAGGTAATAAAATCTTTACACATAGTCATTAGGTTGGAAAAGACCTTTGAGATCATTGAGTCCAACCTATGATCTGACAGCACCTTGTCAACCAGACCATGACACTAAGTGCGACAGCCAGTCTTTTTTTCAACAAGAATGGTAGCGAAGTTGTCAGTTTCTTTGATACCAAAGAACTGTAGATTTACAGCAAGTACAGCAAGTTTTCAATATAACAAGAAATAAAATGTCTTATCACTTACCATCATTTTGTCCATAATAGTATTTGTCCCAAGAATGTTGTATTTTCCAGGATTTGCTGCTGCATGTTTGGTAACCCATGTAGTCTTGCCAGCTCCAGGCAAGCCAATCATCATTACCACCTATGACAAAAAGTTCTGTATTTGAGATACTAGTTCAAAGATTTTCTTTAATACACAACTTAGCCCAGCATACCTAATAGATACTGAGGGGGGAAGTGGGGGGTGGGGAAGGTAGTGGTAGTGTGCACATCATAAGACACTAAATATTAAAGCTCCCAAACAAAAATGTCGGGAATCAGGTAGAATAGTCTCCTTAACCCCACCATTTCCATCTGCTTAAACAACTTTTGAGAGGATCAGAAGAAACTTACTTCACAATCTTTCTTTTGCTCAGGTCCCTTTGGTCCTCGGACCCTATCTTCCAGGGGGACCTTCTGGATGAAGGAATACTCTTCAGGTACAGGGAAATAAGGTTCCTCCTTCTGACCAAAGTTGAACTCAACTGCACAGTTATGGCAGAGAACATGTGGAAAGAGTGGTCGTCCATCAAGAACTTCCTTGCTTATTTTGAATGCAACACCAAGCTCTTGTCCGTTCTTGGAATACGAGAGTTCCACTTCATCACCATCAAAATTCTGTTTTTTAGACAAAGTATTATTTTGGATAAAATTAACTCACTTTATACGGGTAATTAGTCACTTCAGTCTACCGGCTATGTTCATTCAACTTCTGTAACTATATGTTATTTCATAAAGGAAATAAAGTAAATTTTCTCTTCTAAATGAGACACTGTCAATGATCACCTTGTTCAAGATCTGATTTTTTGTTGAAAGGCTTTAAAGACATTTATCCATGAATATGAATTCACATTTCCAGCAGACACTGTTAGTAACAGCTGCTGCTTCTACTGCCTGCCTATGTTAAACAACTTGTTGTGCTCCCATGATTTTATATATTTACTTTACTGCTTCTTATGTCAAAGCAGTCTAAAAATTCAAGGATGTCTTCCCTCAAAAGAAAATATAAGTGGAAACTTACAGCAAAACATCCAATCACATCATTTTCATCAAACTTCTCACCGAAGTCCTCAGTCTCACAATTGCATGTCTTTATTCCTTTTAGAGAATACCCATAGGAAAATTCTTCTTCACCTGAAGGAACAATTTAAACTAATTACTAATAAGCTTTCCCATCTAACCGTTTACACATAAATCACCTTACAGCTACTTAAGCAAGCTGCTGTTCAGAGTATTTTTATTAATGCCAAAACAAGCTATGTAGCCCCCCAAAAGCTATACAAGCTCATTCTTCTATTCAATACTTTCACTTGAGATAGAACAGAAGTGTTTCCTTATCCCTGTTTAAGAGCCTTATGCTGCTGGCTCCAGATTCATGGTGACAATAAAAGCTGAACTGTCAGATAAAGACATGAACAAGTGTTTTTTAACTGTGAAGACCTGATTATGCAGTGGTATACCTGCCGTAACGTAGTCAGAAAGGCTTTCTGAAGTTAGTCTCCAGGAGCACTTACCCCTCCCATTTTAAAGGGAGTTTAGCAGACAGTCAGCCTATGCAACAGCTGAGGATGAAGCTGCAAGGAACAAGCTAACAGGAAGTGTCAAACACAAGGACTCAGGTGTAACTTAAGTAGAATGCTGTTGCTGATGTCAGAACATACCAACTCACCAATATTTCTCCCCCAAAGATGTGTTTCAGCAACAAGTTATAAATATTATTATAGTAATCATTTGTCATATATATATATATATAAAATTAAGTTGTACTTCCTTCTTTCCAGCTATTTTTAGAAACTAGGATTTTCCCACAAAGGAAAATAAAAAAAGGAGAAAAACAAATTAAAAAAAGATAATGTAGTTACTATGGGTTAAATTTTACACCATGCCTCCTCCTTTAAAAGTACAGGGAAGGAAACTCCCCCTTTTCTACTTATGACACTATACTATATGAAAAAGATAAATCCTTTACCTTGTTAGGTATTCAAAAATGTTCTCCACAACCCATAAATGATCAGTGGAATAATTAATTCTTAAATTATGGCCCTAGCCCTTACAGGTCTGAATACTTTTGGACTTTATTTGGTCCCAGTAATCAACTTTTTCACACCACGTCCAGTGAATGACTCAAATTAAGACCACTTTTTGCAACACAGAGACTACAATCACTAAGCTTGTTCCCCCTGCTTCAGAAAAAAAAGTATTTAAAACTTCAACCACATTAACACAAAAGCAATCAAACATTTAAGCCTTACCGAGCAACATTCCACTTGTGTTCAGTGACCAGCCAACTCGCACTTCATGTATGTCAATGTCTTTTGTATACAGGTGCTTAACAGGAATCTTTTCTGTAACCTATTTTTAAATTATTCAGTGAAAGGCAAGCAGTATTTATTATACACTAACAAGATGGAAGAACAAAAGATAATATTTGGAACCTTTACACTTTGGTTAAATCTGTGCTAGGTCTAAGTAATCACCCTCTGCAAAAATAAAACATGTTCAAGAATATGAAGCCACAACTAGTGATCAAACAGTTCTAGTGCCTGACTTAGCAATGAAGATTGAAGATAACATAAATCTTCATCGCTTTATCATAGCAGTGCCTTGTCAGTGGTCAAGACTTAAGTCCTTTTGACACAGTATTAAAATCACAATTAATACACATATTTATTTTAAGAACTCCCGTTGCTATCAAGTTGGGATTAACAGTATATTAGTTAGCTAAGAAAATGCACAATGTATTAAAAAACCCCGCTTCTTAGAGACTAGGGAAAGTATTATACTGACCATTTTCACACTAAGCAGACTTCCTGGGCAAGCTGCCAGGTTCCAAACAACCAGGTTAAACAAAAAAAAAAGGTAGCAACAAACACAACCACACCAGAAACCCCAACAAAACACCTAAATGCACTGGAATCCACATGCAACCTACTGTTCTTTTAACCGTTTTTAGAAACTTCACCAAAATAAAGTGAAAAACCCATCATTATCCTATCAACCTCTGCAACTAATCCAATCAGGTGACTTGAGCTGAAACTCTTTTAAAAGTGAACAGGACAATACATAGTGACATAAATTTCACTTCACTGGCCTTCCAAAGTTATAGGTATCAACAGACACAGAAATCACTCCATTCAAAAGGCTGGGTAATGGGGTCACAGCTACATTTGAAAGCACTAGAGAAAGAGAAGAGATTAATATACACAGGCCCATCATATGCAAAGAAGCCCTTAACATTGTTAAGTAAAAAATGAGTAAGAAATACAAATGCAAGCTTTGTGATCCTGTACCTCTTCCACCAACAAGCTGAAGAAATCAGTTTTTACTAGAAGGCTGACTGCTCTTCGCCATTCTTACCCTTCAGGAGAACTTGCCCTCAAAATTCAACTACCTGCTAGATATTCACATTCAATGCATCATGTCAGAGTTAATGATGTTGAAAGGGACCTCTAGAGGTCATCCAGCCCAAATCCCTGCCTCCAGCAGATCAAACCCAAAGACTAAGTAGAACCAAAAAGGACTGTTGGGATAATTTATATCCCTATATAAAAAAAAAAAATGTCAAGCTTTCTCTCATCTTCAGATAGTACAAGCAAACTTCTGACTAGAGTATAAAAATACTTTAAATGTTGAGACATAAGATGCAAAATAGAATTCATGGTTAAAAAATAAGACCAAAAGTCTCACATTCAGAATAAATGCAGTGTTTTGGCAGGTTGTTTTTTTGTTTTGTTTAGTTGTTTGGGGTTTTTTTTTAATTTGTTTTTTTGTTTCAGTTTTGCAAACTGAGCCATCTTTCTTGTAAAGAAGGCTGTTTAAGAGTCCCGTTCACATCAATTAGTTTCAACCAAGTCCAAAAAATATGGCAAGTATTAGTATTATATTTAAGCATGCAAAAGCCTCCCATAAACATTAACTCACCTTCATCTCAAAGCAGACTTTGCCTTTAGAAACTCCATAGGAGGCTCTCCCTCCAGCCCAAAGGAAAGCAAAGCTTTCCATGGTCAGAGAGGAAGCACTAAACCGGTCTCTTGAGATTTTAAAATGCAGGTCACAGTTATCTGTTAACACAAAAATCATTCTGTTCACTCCGATTACAAAATAAAGTACAGGTGGCAAATTTTATGCAGTCAAATGATGCCAGCTTTCAAAGGTGATTCTGAAGACAAACTGCCAGCAAGTACCCAGAAACTTTCAGAGAAGCAACATGTCTAAACGGAAATGCAGACTGAAGCTTAGCCTTCACTTCTATCACTCAATTTCCCTCTATTTTTTCCATCTGCTTAAAACCCCCTAACTTTCTCCATATCGGTTTGAACCCTTTGTCAGTTACCTCTCTCCATCAATACAGATAACAATGCCATCTGCATTGTATTCTCCACAGTACCCTCTAGAGACCTTGATTCTGAAGCAGTCTCATTGCTCAAGCCCAAACCTAAGGGCTGCTAAGAAGTAAATGTGAACACAAATGTTTTTACTTAAGTACTGAACGTAGTCTTTGGTTAATATAGTCAATTAGCAAGTCAGATTATGTCTATTAACATAAAAGCAGTTAAGTCAGAAGCAGATATGCTAAGCACAGAGTGTGCTAAACGAACCTACTTCAGCCCAGAAACACAACCTACACATTACGAATTCACCTATCACTCTAAGTGGAACCTCGGTTTTACAAGCATCTTCAGAGCTGCCAACAATGAAATTGCAAATGAATCTCTCAGTAGGTTTCAGAAAAACAATATCAAATGGTAACAAGAAGTGCAGCATGCAACACTTGAATTCCCCAGAGCAAGGAATCCACAGAAGCAGCTCCAAACGTATCTGATGCTTACAAGAAAGGAGCAAAATGAGCGAACAGTGAGGAATTCTGCTCCCATGTAAAACCTGCATGATGCCAGAATACACTAAAATGCCATCTGCCCTGTACTACTGGCAATTCTCAGGCACAAAATGTTGTTTTGTTTGCATACAGCTATCCCCAGTTCCAAAAATACTATTAATGATTCAAGTGTCTTCTCATCAGTACTGCTAGCTCATATTTGTTGCATGAAAAGCAAATAAAATTGTACAGAAGAAACCCACCTTTGCAGGCTACCTTTAGAACAGGAGATGAGAACAGAATTTGAAGTTACAGGTTCTTTGTGAGACACAGGTAATAAAAAGTACATAAGAGTGGCTAAGCCTCTTACACGTCTGGATCACTATCCAGAAGAGAGAATGCCACTTCATTACATAATTCAGCCTTACAGCTGTGTTTGAATCTTCTCTCTAGAATCTGTCAACACTTCAAATCAGAATTTATCCAGTAACATGATTTTCTATTAAAAAATTCTATTATTACTAGAAACAGTAATAATGAAAAGTAGCTATTTATGCAGCTATTGGAAAAATCCAAACCTCCCACAGAAGTGGGTACTCACCAGGTTAGCAGCTAGAAACTTGAGACTTAGCAAAATGTCAGGGATGGCATATTCAGTAATTTACGTGACTGTAAACTAATACCTCCTTCCATTTCAAACAATTTCTTGTAGAGTAAAACCACCTGAAACTTCTAACAATATGCCAGACAATGCCAAAAGTTAAGCTTTCCTTCCATGGCACTGTAAGAATCCAACAAATTCAAGCATTACTTCTAATTTTCTAATATTGTGCTGAGTACTTATACTTACCCTCAGGAATACAAATGTCAACTCTGCCATTATGTTACAGTAATAGTAATGTTTATAATTTGCCTCAAAAAACCCCCAAACAAACCTGTTTGCAGGTACTTCTCAGCTTCTATGCTCTATTGACCAAGTCTCCCTGCCATCCCACTTACAGAAACCACCACCCAAAGCCCACACACTCACAGGTTACATGAATGGGTCATTTCTGAGGAGGCATTACCAGATATTGTTAAATTTTTCAGAAAACAGAAAGAACACTCCACTGGTTGGAACACAAACAGGGGAAGGTATGTAGAAAGCTCACTTCCCAAACTGTATTTCATAAGCAGTTAGGCTACTGACTCTCTGAGCTTTCTGGGCAGTAGTGCTGGACAGCTGTTTCATCAAGCTGTCCCTAGGGTGTTCCATGGGCACTCTACACTTACCCGCCCCTAAGCTTCCAAACCAGATTAGTGTTTTGTTTAAGATTTCTTCACAGAACCGTCTATCACTACAAATTTCACAGGAAAACCAAGCTTATTACTGTTAACATACTCATATGTTACTTATACTCATCTTTCTGTTCATTTGCTAAAAATAGGTAGAAACACAGTATTTTTCTAATTTTTCTTAAGTTACCTGGTAACAAAAATGAACAAATGTATCCTCCCTTTTCAGAAAGCATGGCACTAAGATTAAAAGACTTAACATCACATCTTTCCAGAGCAAACAAAAGTGTGTTTACTCACAAGTATCAAGACAAACCACTGTGTCATCAAAATGTTCATCTTCTTCTTCAACAGGTGGTTGAGGGGACTTGGCCCTGAAAGAAACAAAACCAAACAAAACATAATAAAGTAACATGTATTTTCATACAGTTAAAATGACATTTTGGTACTCTATTCCTCCTCATCACAAAATGCTGCCCAGCAGCAACTCTGTTTACCTGCTATACTTGTTTTCCTCAATGTATTCAAAGTATCCCCGGCCATGGTCTTCACGTGGTCTCTTCACTCCTCTCTTCTTCTCGCCAGGCTTTTGCTCCGTTTTACCATCTCCTGTAACAGAAGCAATTATTTATTTTTTTTAAGTTTTAGTTTAACTGTGAATAAAATCTATAGGATGGCTTCAATTTGCAGCAAGCTACAGCATGAGATAAGCAGTAACATCTTTAAACGGAATATTACTGTTACTAAGGTAAAACCATGTATCTTGAATTTTTACGGGAGACTTAAAGCTTGTCACCAATCAAAAATGATTTAGCATACAGAAGTTGCCAATACACCCCGCAGCAGTACGGCCTTCAGTGTTACGATTCCACTGAAAAGCACACCACACCCCTCCAAAAAAGAAAGAAAAAGAAAAAAACCAAAAAACTGGAAAAAAACCCCACCTCCTGACCCGCAACACCACCACCACCCGCCCACCACGGGGGCAGCGGGACATTGCCGGCCTCTCGAAGGGCACCGTGCGATACGCACGACTGCGCCTCCTCCCGGCGGGCCGCGGGCGGGAGCCCCAGGGAAGGCATTCCTCCTCCTCCCGCCTCCATTGTACCGCCAGGCCTTCCCAGCGCCATCCCGTGCGGCGGCGGCGCCCAGCCCGGAAGTGACGTCACGCGCGCCCAGCGCACAATGCACAGCGCGCCCCAGCGGCCCCTCCGCCGCCCCTC